GGCGGTGACAGGCGGGGGAGGGGCGGGCTGGGGTGCTTCTCCCGCCCTTGGTGGCAGGAGGGTGAGAAGCAAAGGCATGCAGAGTCCCGGATTCGGTCCTTCTATGTGCAAGGAGCCTTTGCCCGAGGCGCTCACATTTCACCCGGGCGAGAGGACCCGGGTGTAACCTTTCCAGAACTCTGATCCTGCACATACCGCTCCTCGGTAGCGGGAGGGGGGAAGAGCACAGAGAAGGAAAAGAGGCAGGCGATGGAAACCGTCCTGCACCCAAACCCATCAGGAGTTGGCTGATCCTGAAGTTGGACTCAGGGGCCAGGGTCCCCGGCTGGTGTTTGACTTGTCCAGGTCACTAGAGTAATCCAGGTTCCTGTCACTGAGTGCGGGAGTGGATGAATGAACGAATGGAGTTCATGGCTCTAGGGTTAAATAAAAGAAAAAAAAAGAGAGAGAATAAAAATCATAGCGTGGCCAAAATGTGGCTTGTAGAAGATAGATAATCTGGCTGGGAAGCTGAGCTTTGGGTTCCAGACCCGGACCTGCCTTTTTCCGCCATGTGACCTTGGGCAAGTCACTTCTTTGGACCTCAGTTTCCAACATTACTCAGATGTTGATCACACCAACCCTAGAGTCCCCTTCTACTATAAACGGGTTGGCATGATAGAATATTGCCGTTCCTTAGACTTACCCCGTGACCTTGAAACAATCACTCTCTCAGAGCCTTAGTTTCCCCCATAATGGGTCTAGGGGAAATACAGTGTCCTTACTTCTCTGGTACTTTGAGACAGTGGTATGCTCTTTGTCCTTCCCAGTGCCCAAGACCTCCTGGGCATAAGTTAGGAATGTGGACAGGTGCAGTCACTCTTTCAAATCATAAAGACTAGATGGGAGCATTTAGTGTACTATCACAGAGAGATTTAAGTTAGACTATCCACACACCAAGTGGTGTGTGAATAACTTATTAATGTGCTTTCAGCACAGAATTCAGCTAGAGAACAGTGCTGTTAATACTGAGGAGGATTGAGTTCCTAAGGGCTTTTAACTCACTGGAGACAGGACTTAGCACCATGTCACTGATTCCAAAATCATCATTTGGATGAAATCATCAAATCTGGAGTTCAGGAGCAATAGTGCATTTGAGGTTATCCCTGGATATCTGAGACCCTGACTGGGGCTATGGGCCAGCCTGGGGACCTTCCAAGTGCAAACTCTAGGACCTGGTGGGGACTTTCCACTCTCCCTTCTGCCTCAAGAGCAATTGGACCGACTGCTGACTGAGCTCTTTCACCTCCCCCCATTTTTCTGTTCTGACCCACCACATGAGGACCGGAGAGGGCCATATAAGAATGATGTTAAGTCTCCACGTGACTGCCATCCAGAACTAGGGAGCCATTATGAGTGATCTGGAGGAGCAGAGCCTGAAATGTAAGAGTACAATTTTATCATTAAACTAGACAAATGGATCTAAGGGAAATTTGAGAAAGACTGTCAAGGGACAAGGGAAACAATGAGGTTATTAGACCATGGAATCATCTTCCATGGGGGGATTCTGAAAAACTTCCTTTGCAACCCTTCTATCCTTCCTTCGACCCCTCCCCCTCCCCTTGCCCCAATACCCACCACATTTCTATAAAGGCTGCACAAAGCAGTGCCTAGGGAAATGATCTAGACTCCCCCCAGGCTCTGCACTGATCCCTAAGAATTAAGACCTATTTGATTTTTATGATCCTCAACTTCTTAGAGAGGGGATGTATTTTCCACTCACAATGCTAAGTCCAGGGGCTCCGGGCTGGACTCTGAGCTCAGCCTTCATTTGAAGGGCAGCCTCATCGGGAGACTTGATTTGCTTTTACCACCATCCTCACAGCCTGGATTCAGAGCATGAGTTTCGCTTGCCTTGAGTCTCTGCAGAGGAGCTAACGTGAAAGTACACAGGAACCAGCACCAGAAATGACAGTGAAAATGTCATTTGGGACTTTCACTCATTTCCTGCTTGGAGGGATCAAATGCTCCTGACTGGAAAAGGGGGGAAGAGGAGGAGGAGGAGGAAGAGGAGGAGGAGAAGGGAAAAAAAAGCGCAAATCTTGCAGTTATTGTAATGATAATTGAAAACTTGTTGTCGTTATTACCAAAAAGCAAAGCTTTTACAGCAGTCCTGGTGGGAAGAAAGTAATGTTTTTATTCTTTTATCGGTCAGGAACTTGGCTTAGAGTATCTTTTTAAAATTCAACAATTAACCATTCCCACCCCAATTCCAATTCTGGTCTCGCTAAGCCTGTACTAAGCTAATGAAATAATATGAGCATAGACCAATGATTGGGAAACTAATTTTTTTTTTAAAATAAAAAGGCAGACTTTGAGGTCAGATGGGCTTTGGTTTAAATCCAGTCTCCTCTGCTTTCTAGCCGGGGAACCTAGAGTAAGTGATGAAATTTTATGGCCTCGATTTCTTATCTGTCAACGAGGGTAAGACCCATCCCATGGTCTCACTGGGTGGATCTCAGGAGGGAATATCTGCAAAGCATCTGAGCATTCAGGAAGATCATGGTGAGCCTGGCAACCCAGGACGTACTCCACAAGTGTGGTTCCCTTCCCTCCTATTCTCAAACCTCCCCTGACCTCTAACTTTCTCCCTTATGCAGACTGTCAGCTAGACGTGTCCTTTGGTGGGATTATTCAAATGTCACTGCCAAATCCTCACTTTGAGGGTAAAGTACAAAAGAATCTCCTGGATTACTCAGTCGTTGTTCCCTTAAGAAATCGTATTATTGTCTATGGCCATGCCACCCTGAATGTGCCTTGATCTCATCTGATCTCGGAAGCTAAGCAGGAGCAGGCCTGGTTAGTACTTGGATGGGAGACCACCTAGGAATACTGGGTGCTGTGGGCTAAAAAAGAAAAGAAAAGAAAAGAAAGAAATCATGTTATTATTAACTGGGTGTGCCCTGGATCAATAATTCACCTCTGATGTGCCAAAGTCACTTATTGGCTCTGGGGTCTCTGTAATGAAAATCAGCCATTTCAAATCAATAAGTATAGGGAATGTGAAAATACACTACCAGAGTCCATAAATCAGTGAGGTGGTCGTGGGAGTAGGATTTGGGGGACAACTTATCTCCTGTGTGCCCTGTATTGACTGGGGATGTTAAGTGTTCTCAGGACTGACACAGGATTATCCCCAACAAGCAAGTCAGCACTCAAGTGGAGCCTCGTCCTTAAACTGACAAGGCAATTCTGATACCTTACAAACGAGATGCAGAGCCAAGAGGAGGTGGAAGTGGCGGGCGGCGTGCGGCCATTGCTGTCCCCAGCAGTGCAGGTTCAGGAGGAGGAGGGCTGGTCGACACCAGAACTCCAGAGGTCCCTCCTTGTCTCAAGGACTCCATCTCTCCTTGGTTCCTGTTCTTCGTGAGCAGTTTGTTCAACTCAGGGCCTTGTGCTTGGTAACAGGGTGGTTTCAGTTCTTTCCCAGCTCTTCCCCGTGGCCCAGTCACCTGGCACAGTTAGGGAAGAAAGCAAATTGGGTGCAGAAAGATTGAGAGGGTTGGGAGAGGGTGTCTCTCTCTGCTCCTGCATCCCGGGTGCAGAACAACTCCCTCTCCTTACAGTCCTTCCTGCACATAGATCTTTTTCTTCAGCCTTAATAACTCTGTGATGCAAGGGTTTTGTTTTTGTCGTTGTTGTTGTTGTTGTTTATTTGAATATGACACTCTCCTTTTTGGGTGTAAACTCTTGCGAGCAGGCACTGGGTCTTATTCATCTTCATGTCTCCAGCACCTGACACGAAGTAGATGCTCAATACATGTTTATTAATGAATGAATATAACAGAAAGAACACTGGACAGGGAATTAGGATATGTAAATTCTTAGCCTGGCTCTCACATTGGCTAAATGTGACCTTGGGAAAGTCACTTAATCTTTTGAGACTTCAGTTTACACCTCTGTGAAATGAGACTGTGGTGCTTGATAATCTCTGAGATCCTTTTTGATCTGTGATCTGTGAACCCACAAGATTCTCCTCAGATTTTCCCTTTGTCCACTTATATAGCAAACTTTCTGCTGTCTAGCACCATCTGACTCTGTGATATTCAGACTTAATCATATATTCTGGTTAATAAAGAGTTATATAAGGTGTTTAGAGATTCTTGACTTTCAAAGAAGAGTAGAAGAGAATACAATTAATACTAAAGTTATTATGGGTATATTTTGCCCATAAAGTAATCATAAAGCAGGATTCAGGATTGTAAGAATCTTAAGGTATCATCTAGACACAGCAGAACTTGTAATGATAATGGAAGAGTTCTATACTAGGCTGTCCAGTATGGCACCTGCTGTCACATGTGGCTGTTGAGAACTTGAAATGTGGCTAGTGTAACCGAGCAACTGAATTTTAAATTTTACTTAATTTTAATTAATGTAAATTTAAATAGGCACACTTGGCTAGTGGCTACTGTTGTGGATAGAGCGGCTCTAGAATATAAGCTCCACAAGGACAGAGGCATTTTTCTGTTTTGTTTACTGCTGAGTAATAGTGCCTAGAGCAGTGTGCCTAAAACATAATAGAAGTGCAATAAATGTCATCTTTCTGAAGATGTTCAGGAGTGCCTGTCAAGAGAGTGCTGGTAAAGAGAAGGCTCCATAACTGAGCGTTCATTGCCCCAAGTTAGGAAAACCTACGTTCTTAGGGAACCTGCATGGAGCCATTCACTGACTAACTGCCAGCAGGTAAAAATACATCCAATTGTGCTGCTCTTCCTAGAGCGTGACACCCTAATTGTGTCCAGTTGGATACCAGAAGCTAAGAGGAATAGGCAAACTTCTAGAGGAATCAGAGAATCATAGAGCTAACAAGAGAGTAGAGAATTCCTCTGAGGAAGTAGAGAAGTTGCTTTGTGACACCAGTGTGGCAGCTCGGAGTATGGAAAGGGTAATGATGCAGAGGCTTTGGGTGACTTCTCTCCAGCTCTGTCAGAAAGATGAATGCCCAGGGATTTACGGCAGCCTCCAAAATTAAGTCAGATGAGGAAGTTATTTGGGCGTTGGAGAGAGGTTATACTGTCTCCTTTTTTGGATGTTTTTAGAAATGGAGATAATTCTTATTTGTCTGAACTAAACCCCCTGGAAAGAGAGTGATGCTCATTATGACCTTTGGGGGAGGGGTTGGTGGCTCCAGCATGGAGGAGTTGTGCTTGGCCAGGTGATGCAAGGCGGGCCAGTGGCGCTGGACACCATGCAGGGGCAGAGCGCAGCTGCTGGCAAGTCCAGCCAAGAGCACACTGATAGCATTACCCTCGGCAAGTGAGAATTGCAGAGTTGGAAAAGGCCTCCAGATTGCCTATTCTAAAACCCTCATTTTACAGGTGAGGAAATAGACTCAGAGAGCAGAGTGACATATTAGAGGCCACCTAGCTAACTTGTGACAGGGCCGGGACTAGAACCCAGATTTCCAGACTCCTAATTCAGGTATCTTTTCACTCCATGCCACTATCAAGCATTAACCAAATAACATGCACACAACTCTATTCTAAACTCTGGATGCAGGACTTGGGTATAGATTAACTATCTTCTAGGTGCTAAATGTCTGAGACACCAAGTCACAGAAAAACACAGAAAATGAACAAAAAGCAGAATAAGCTCCCTCCTTAATCAGAATGATTGCATCATGTACCAGCCAAGGAAATGGGGCCTGAAGAGATGATGTGGGAAGACAAGAGATTCCAGTTTCTCGCTTCCTTTTCTAATCAAAGTGTGTTTCCCCAGAAAAAAATTTGGAAATCATAGGACGAGGGAATTTCATTTCACTCAAGACAGGAAGTTTAGTAAAACTAGAGGAAAACAGTTCAAGTGACCTGAAACACCTCCAGCTCTTAACCCTGAGAAATGGCAGTGTCAACAAATGACAAAGGGAGACACCACTGGGGAAACAGCAGAGGCCGATGAAGCAAGGGGAGGGTGCTTTTCTCTGGGCTCGAGGATTCTCAGGGGACCCAGCCAGCACTGATGCTGCAAGAGAAGGTGCCTCTGGGGGAAGAGGGGTTAGGCTGGCAGTACCATGGGACAGCAGCACGGCCCCTGCCCCCTTGGCCCCTCCAGATATACCTCCACTGAGGCAGGAAGCCAATGGAAGTTGGCCGCAAGGTAATGACAAGGTTCGATGACGGCTTCAAAGGAGAAGGAAAGAATTCCATGCGCGTTCGATCTAGGTTGGTGCAGGGGAATCTATTTCCAGGGTACCTCTCCCTGGGGAAGGAAATTCAAGTCCAGCTTTGAGCTAGGAGTTTCCAAAAGCCTAAATGGATTTGTGCTGGTCATCATCTTAAAGAGGCTACCTATGGTCCCCAATGTCACATCCAATGAGGAGAACTGGAAACTGTCCATTTCCCCTCTCTTTATGTCCCTTCCAGACACCCCTCAAAGTCAGCCTTATTCATTTGGTTATTTGGTCCAGCTCCCTGCACAGTGAAAACAGCACCCTGCGGCTGGAAGACCAGTGGAAGCCCTGGGTCCCTGCCATGAGGGACTTGATCATCCCCCATGTGCACCTGCTGAGAGCCAGAGGGTGGTTCTGAAGGGATGCTCCTTGGCCAGTTGAGATCTTCTGACTCTCGAAAGGGCTTTGCTCTCCCTCAGCTCTTTGCCGTTTTCGCCTTCGGGTGCTGCGGTTCCTACAGCGGGGAGACAGGAGCAACGGTTCGCTGCAACAACGAGCCCAAGGACGTGAGCTCCATCATCGTCTTATTCGGCTATCCCTTCAGGTGAGCAGAGCTCTGTCCTGACCCCACACAGCCCCTCTCGCTGGATCAGCAGGACCTGCTAGGTCTCTTTTTCCTCTGGAAACCTAGATCTTTTGTGGCATGCCACTCCAGGGCATGATCCTTCCTGCCCTTTAGGAGTTTCAGACAAACTGGCCAGAGAAAAATATAAGGGAAACTCATTCAGACCGTTGTTATAATAATATTCCAGTCCATAGATAACCAATAACAGGTAGCAACAGCTCTTACAGAAAGAATCCACGCAGTTCGGGCTGGAGGCTTATAGGAGTCTGGGCAAGCTGGGGCGATCTCTCTGCCCTCCCCCCTACACACACTCCGGCAGCCTCCTCCCTGACTTGAAGTACTTGTTAGTGCTTGTTATTACTTAGATCCTATAGCGTTGATGTGGGTGCTCATCTGGTACCACCAGAATACAAGGAGGCTCACCTTGACCAGGAGGTAGAAGAGAATAGTCTTTTCTGGGTATTTGGGAGCTTGGGGACAGGGGAGCCCAAGTGTTCAGAGGAGAATGGGGACAGGGCTCGCCTTTTCAGAAATTTCTAGCAGCCGCAACCAAGTCAGATTAACTGTCTCTTGTATATACTAGGGTGTTTGTTTTTCTCTCTTGCTTTGTTCAATAGAGTCTCATTGGGGGGCCCAAAGAAGGCCCGAGAATGGGTCATTCCAACCTTACCTTGGCCACTGTGGCCTGTGCTTTCTCTGGGGCAGAATGAAGCTGATGTCCCTGGTGGTTTGGCCACCAGAAATAGATGGACTATATATATTGCGGTTGTGACCTAAAGGGCCCTGGAGAAACTTGGAAATACATGGTCACCGTATGGGGCAGGGTGGGTGAGTGCAGGGTGGCGGCTGAATGGGAGGCAGGGTTTGACTGGAATTCTAGGGGTGTTCCTGTCTCCACACAGTCCTCCCTGCACGGCCCCTTCTGGGCTCTGTGAGAGGGGGAGGCTGAGAGCCACCGGCACAGGCCACCCCCGGGCAGGGCGGGGCCCCAGCTCCACAGCGAGAGGACTGCCCCAAGCTCAGGGTGGCCTCCCTTGCCACCTGCAGGTTGAACCGGGTCCAGTATGAGATGCCCCTCTGTGACGATGAGTCCACCTCCAAGACCATGAACCTCATAGGGGACTTCTCCGCCCCCGCCGAGTTCTTCGTGACCCTGGGCATATTTTCCTTCTTCTACACCATGGCTGCACTAGTCTTCTACCTGCGATTCCACAGCCTCTACACGGAGAACAGGCGCTTCCCCCTGGTGGTGAGTGGGCACGCGCCAGACTGGGGCGGAGAAACTGGGGAGATGCCTGTTCTGAGGCTGAGGTCAGAGCTGGAGGGGGAACACACATGGTGGCTTTCCCGGATCTCCGACACGCATATGTGGAACCTCCTGAAACTTCCCTCACAGCTCTTTGCTGTGCGTCCCTTCGGAAGCTGTGGGTCCCACAGTTCCTCGGGCCAGTGGAAGGCCCAAGTCTCAGGACTCGGCCCCTACCAACCTCCCATTGCTCGCTCTGCTCACGGAAGGCATAGTAGCATCAAGAATCAGGCTCAGGAGTCACACTGCTTGGGTTCAAATCCTGTGTCCCTTACTAGCTGCGTGCCCTTGGAAAAGCTACTTATTGTGTAGTGTACTTTGAGCAGCGGTGATCAGAGGAAAGACTGGGGTGTCTAATCACTATGTTGTATACCTGAAACGAATATAATGTTATATGTCAACTGTAATTGGAAAATAAACTTAAAAAACTAAAAAACTGTTAAAAAAATTTTAAAGGAAAGGCTGAGAAGGGAGATTGGGGAGTTTAGGCCACTTGGGTTTTGGGGGTGACACTGACCAGCAGATGAGGTCAAGTAACAAGTACGCTGTTACTTGACCTCAGTTCTGAGGGCATGGGCAGGGGGGCCGCTGGTGGCAGGATTCCTTTGATGGCAGTGAAAAGATTCTTCAGGATGACCTGGGATCCCTGAGGCTCTAAGTGTTAGGTAGGATGGAAACAGGTGGTTGTCCTGGCACCCCAGGCCCCGAGTGCGTTATGGTGAGAAGTGGGGAATCGCGGGATATGATGATTGTATTTCCTGTCCCTCTGCTCCTCCAGTCACGGGGTATGATTGTATTTCCTGTCCCTCTGCTCCTCCAATCACGGGGTATGATTGTATTTCCTGTCCCTCTGCTCCTCCCAGGACTTCTGTGTGACTATCTCCTTCACCTTCTTCTGGCTGGTAGCTGCAGCTGCCTGGGGCAAGGGCCTGACCGACGTCAAGGGGGCCACACAGCCATCCAGCCTGACTGCAGCCATGTCCGTGTGCCATGGAGACGAAGCAGTGTGCAGTGCCGGGGCCACACCCTCCATGGGACTGGCCAACCTCTCTGTGGTGAGACCTGTGGTCACTGAAGGGGTCTGGGGGAAGCAGCACCGTCCCAGCTGCCCAGGCTTGTCCCAGCAGCAGGTTCTGAGAACAGAGGAGGTGTCCCCACAGCTGGTGTCCCCTGCACCTGAATCCCGTGCCCCCTGTGCCTAGCGTTGGGTGCTGGCCCCTAGCTGACTCTGCAAAGACATTTTGGAATGCGGGAGACTGAGAGCCACTCAGCCTCCTGTCCCTGCCTCCTTCTGCACACTCCTTCCTGTTTCTTTTCTCCCACCTCCAGGCGTGCTGTCTGTGACTGCCTCCCACTCCTCCTGCCTCTTCACAATATGTGTGTGTGAAGGAGGAGCACAGGGCTCAAAGTGAGAGCAGACCCAAAGTGAGTGAGGAGGGCTCATTGTCACTCAGGCCTCCAGACCGGAAAAGGGCTTTGACAATGGTGGGTCCAGCTGCTGTGCTCGTTTTTGGCCATCCCCATTGTCGGACCATTGAAATATCAGTTGGTAAATAGCTGAGGTCTCAAATGCCCCCTGTCATCCCAGCCGCCTCAGGCCAGCCCTGAAAATGACCTGAACCTCCTGAAGGGCCCACAAATGAAGGGTTTAATGGCTGGCACACCAGGGAGCTTTCTAGACCCTGCTGATAGGTTTTACCGCCCACCCCCCTCAACATTTTATTGTAAAAATTTTCACATGTTCAGCAGAGTTGAAAGAATTTACAATGAACACCCATGTACTCATCAGCTAGGCTACTATATCACATATCACATATCTATTTGCCTCTCTTCATCTATCAATCCATCTTATTTTTAATGCATTTCAAAGTTAATTGCAGACATCGGTATACTTCCCCCTAAATACTTCCGGCTGATAGGTTTTAAAGTATTTTGAATAGCTATTTGAATATAGTCCTGGCTGGGACCCTGACACGTCCCTGACCCTAGGGAAAAGGAGCACCTCGGACAGCTCTGGCCACACCCACCCTGCCGAAGTCTCTGGGAACAGGCCCCACGTGTGCTGTGGGAAGTGCTACTAGAGCCCTTGCTCCATGCTGTGCTTTGCAGGATGCTCCACTCCGGGGGCCAGATTCTCCAGCCACCAAGTTTGGGTGCATGCTATACATAGAGTTAGACACTTTCTCCAGAGAACCCCTTAGTGGATGATGACCTTGAACTCTGCTTCAATATCCAGTTCTCTGTCTTTTAGTCGTCGTAGCCCTCTGTGCTTCTGGGCAGCACCCTGCTCACCTACAGTCTCTCCCCTCCTGCCCCCCCCCACAGGTACCCTCCTCCCTGTTCCCATGATGCCCCCTTACTCTTCTCACAAACTCTCCTGATGTCTTTGCAGCTCTTCGGCTTTATCAACTTCTTCCTGTGGGCCGGGAACTGTTGGTTTGTGTTCAAAGAGACCCCATGGCATGGGCAGGGGAAGGGCCAGGACCAAGACCAGGGCCCCAGCCAGGAGAGCACAGCTGAGCAGGGAGCCGTGGAGAAGCAGTAAGCAGCCCCAACCTGGCTACTCCTGAACAGAACAGCACCTTTTCAACCATCTCCGGCTTCCAGGACCTCCCCCTTCTTCCTCTTCCAACTTCCCTCCCCATTATCCTGGGTTTTAAGCTTTGAGACATCGATGGATGGGCAGGCATCAGCTGTCGGAAACCTGGGCAGCCCTCCCAGTGGCTTCATATCCCTCCCCTTGCTGGAGTCCCGGATGGCAGGAGCTCAGTGCTTCTGGTCTACTGCCTGGACCCAGGCATCTTACTTGGTTGTATGGACCCTCACAGCCTCTGCTGCAGGTGAGGGTTGGGTGCAGAAGACCAGAGCCCTGGGACTGGTTCCTAGCAGCCACTTCTATCATTCTGTCCAGCTTCAATAAAAGTTGGGGGTAGGGAAAATTGGCTGGCAGCCTTCTCCCTGGTCCCTTGCAGGGAGGGCCCACCAGTGGTTTAGTGACTCTTCCTCAGTGACTGCCATCTGTGTCTGCACTGATCCCCAGACAGGCTGAGCTCAGTATGCTTCCCACTCTTCTGGCCTCTTCCTGCCCAAAGAGCCTACCACGTGTGAACCTGGGAGGCCCACCAGCCTGGAAAACAGCCTTCAGAGAGGCGTCTTGATGAGGCTTAGACTCAGTGGAAAGCAGATCAATTGCGACCGAGCTGAAACTTCAAGAAACTAAAGTCAGGAAACTTGCTGGGAATCTGTTTCTGCTATTTCCTCAGTCCCCTCGCTCCTCCAGGCTGGGGCACTTTCCACCAACACTCTGAACTCGCACTGGCCCTGGAAACGCCTTACCTTCCTTGCCAAACTCCTTCTTGGGCTCGGTCTCACACTTAGGACACAAGAGGGGTCTAGGAGCATTCCCCATCTCAGTCCTTCTCCTCTCTAACCGCTCTGCCCATCTCCCTTCCCTAGCCTCTTGGGTCCGAGGCATTCGAGAGCCTTTCCCAAGTCTGTCCAGGCCTTTCTTTCATTCCCATGGGGCCAGACAGGGGCTTTCGAAGGGCCCAAAGGGCCATCCTGAAGCTAAGTTACCCCAAAGCCCCAAGACATGGATGGGCCCGTTTCTTCCTGCTCTCTCCCTTTCCCTCCCTGCCACCTGCTCCTTCTCTGGCCCCTTTCATACTCCCCCCTCTCACCTCTGCCAAAGAACATGCCCTCTCCCTTTGCTCTCCATTCCTCCCTTGCTCCTCATTTGTCCCTCATTCCTCCTCTGTCCCATTCCCTCCCCCCACCTCGCCAGTCCAGGGCAGGCCGATGCTATTGGTGCTTCTTCACTTCGGGACCCAGTTCCAAATTTGTCTTCGGTGTATCTCCTCCTCCTGACACCTCCTTTAGTCTCTCTCTGGATCCCAGGGTCTAAGAGTCAGTGCTCACTGGGTGAGGGCTATTTGTCTCCTATTCAGCCGAAAACACTTCAGTCCGCCCTGGTCATAGGGCTGCCCAGGGAAGGATGAAGAAGGTAGAATCCAGCCATTTTCCAATCCGGTGCCAATTAGCTCACTTATCATCCCAGAGGTGAATGTGCCCTTTACCAAATCTCTCCTCAGGACTGAGTCAACCCCTCCAACCTCCTCACTTCCCTGAACACCATTCGTAGTGACATGCGCACTGGTCAGGGACCCAGGAGTCAAGACTTTTGCCCTTGGGCCAATCATTTCTTCTTCGGGTCAGAGTTTCCCACCATAACAGGGGAAGCGTGAGATTTACATCCTTAAATGCTCTGGGTCCTTCAGTGAAATGATTAGTTTTTTTTTGTTGTTGTTTTATTTTGTTTTGATTTTGGGGAAAGGATTTGAGGAGGAAGAGAGGAAATGGGGATGAGAGTGTTTCTAAGTCTGAACCTTTCTGAGTTGTCCCCATGGTTACTCAAGGATGGCGGGGTG